CTGTAAACTCAATAACATTAAGTTACCGAAGGTTCAATTCCTTTTCTTCCTATTCAAATAAAGAATATTTTTATTTTATGGTTAATAACACAAATTAAGTTATAAAAACTAATTAAATTTCTTATTAGCTTAATGGTAGAGCATGATACTTCTAATATCTAGATCCAAGTTCAAATCTTGGATAAGAATAACTTATATAATATTATATTAGATGTGGTTTGATATTGTTTAATATAAATAATATAAACTATTATTATATAATAGTGTTGATACGTTAGTTGAATGGTAAAGGCATTGTGCTACGGACACAAAAATTGCAAGTTCGATTCTTGTACGTATCTAAAAAAAAAATTAAAACATATTAATAAATATATTTATATAAGTTTATACTATTATTTTTAATAGTATTAAAGCCTTTATAGCTCAACGGTAGAGCGAAATACTGTTAATATTTATATAGATGTTCGATTCATCTTAAGGGCTCTGATTTTTAATATTAATTAATATTAGATGGGATGACCATTTGCGTTATGCTATTATGCGTATGGTTGGTGTATTTTTCACCATATCCATAACCATCTCCATGTATATATAGAGAAAAATATGAGATAACAAGTTCAAATCTTGTTCGCATTTAAATAATTTTATTTGTATATATTATTTTATAAAAAATAAGGTATTTTCAATTTAATTCTTAAAAATTAAACTAATGGCTAATATAATTGTTATATTTCTATATGAGAAAGATATAAAGATAATAATTTAATGAATAGTATTAAAGTTATAAATGAAACTTATACTAATGGTTATAGAGTAGAAGTATTAGATTTTATTTCATTATTTTCTATACTATGTGGTATATTTGTTATTGTTAGTAAAAATCCTATAGTATCTGTTCTATTTTTAATAGGTTTATTTTTAAATATATCTCTTTATTTAATATTATTAGGTTTAAACTTTATAGGTTTATCTTATTTATTAGTTTATGTAGGAGCTGTATCTATATTGTTCCTTTTTATTTTAATGTTAATAAATGTTAGGATTTCTGAATTATTAAGTTATACTAATAATACTATACCTTTAGCTATTATAATAGCTATATTGTTTAATATACCTGTAAATGAAATATTACCATATAGTATAGTAGGATACACTAATTTCCCTGAAAATTTAAAAATATCAATAAATAATATTTATACATATTATTTAAATTATTTCTTTCAAACTTTAAATTTTGTTAAAGGCAAAGATCAAGTGGTATTTGCAACATCTAAACTTTGAGATGGAAATTTAGCAGAAGTTACACATATATCTACTCTAGGTAATATAATGTATACTAGTTATTTTATTTGACTTATTATAGCTTCTATAATATTATTATTAGCTATGGTCGGAGCTATTATTATAACAATAAAACAAAAAAATTAGTTTAGTATAGTCAAATTATTATTTAATTTAATTTTCTAATTAGAAAATTTAATGTGATAATATATGTAAGTTAAGTGATAATTAGTTAGTAGTAAGGAGATTAGTTCAATGGTAGAATGACCGTTTTACACACGGAAGGTTAAGAGTTCAAATCTCTTATCTCCCAATAAATTAATTAAATAGTAATAGTTGTATAAATTATGAAGTAAGTAAGCAAATAATAACGTAACAAATTAGTAAATAAATATTAAGATGGATATAGTTCAATCGG